ATATATGGCCAAACTTGGTAAAATTTACTAAAATCTAAAATTACCTCGTCGCGCAAAGGAAATCGATAAACTGATAAATTATATTTTCAGCCGTGTCCGAATTCGCGAATCCAAATGTATAACACATCCATCGTCGCGAGTTTAGTTAAAATAATTCGAGAAATGGAGATTTAAAACGAAGCTTGTACGAAAATAAAAAAAGAATGGAAAAGTATCTTTTTATCCTTCTTTTTTTCTTTTCGAGTCGAGTTATAATCATTTCGGGGAATATCGGTAATTTTTCGTCGTTTCGAGTCGTTTCGTCGATCAATTAATTAAGTTGATTTTTTGAAAATTGATTTTCCCGCCAATTTTTCACGAACGGCCAAAAATCCCCCACGTTTTCCCCTATATCCGTCCCATGATCCGGATCTTCTTGCCGTCAGGAATTATTTAGCAATTCGACCGGGATGGCGTATTCGAAAATAGAACTCTTCTGCAGTTCGTTCGCATCGTCTTGAAATACCTCTTCCAAGCGAAAAATCATATTCTTTCCCTTTCGAAACGTTCGCGCGATGAAATCGTTATTATCCCTGATAATAGAGAACCAAATTTCCAAGTGTCTTGAATATACAATTTTTCATACAATTTTCGCTTCGTTGAATAGAGAGTCTCGTTGCCACCTTTTTGCCTGGAAATTTTTACTCCTTTTGCACTGCATTCTGACTTGAATCTATATTTTACCGAATTTATTATTAATCATAAATTTATTTGAATTATTAAAACAACAATGTACAACCGAATTAATAAAAAAACCTCTCCAATTAAATAAAAAGCCGGCATATTATTCAATTTTACATTTAATTATTCAATAAATGATTAATAAAAAATTATTTTAATCTATAATTATAAATAATCCTTTTTAATAAAATTTCATTCCTTTCCAATATATAGTACATCTCTCCCGAAATTTAATCCAAACTTTCGCGTACTAATCGATCAATTAAATCAATCGGGTAAGAAAGAATAAGATTCCCTTTTGAGAAAAAAAAAAAATTAATTCACAATTCCAATTCTCTTCTCTGCCCTCCCCTCCTTAAAAAAAAGGAAAAAAATTCTCGCCGGAATTCGAATTAATAAGCGGGAGGGCGAAAAAGAGTTTATCGGGATAGGCGCGAATATCGGGAGGAGGAGGGGGGGAGGAGACAGCTGGAAAGCTCCGGGTAAATATCCAGAGTGGTTACGGTTAGCTGCACCTACGGTCGGTACGGTCGATACTCTAAACGGGGATAGAGATATACCCCCCTTTTTATTTAAAGCCGGAGAGAGACGAGATAGGGCGGAGAGGGGATAGAGAAAAGGGGAGGGGGAGAGGCTAGAGGTGGAGGTCTCGCGCGAGAAGAAGGTGCATCGAGCGTGGAACGAGCCGAGGAGAACAGTTCACGCGTGCGAGAATATTCGAGCAGAGAGAGAGAGAGAGAGAGGGAAAGAGAGGTG